TGCATCTGATGTTCAGGATCCCTTAACCACTCCACCAACACGTCCGGACAAAAGAGGATGGTAGCCGAGGCTTATTGCCCATTCCCCCGCCGGCACTCTGTTGGTAATCTTGGGCATGGTATTTTATCAAATCACCTCATTCTTGGGGCACACGTGAGGAACACAAATGCGAACAAGCCTGAACGGTCTCCAGGCATATATGCAAATGAAAACTCACAGCCCAAAAGTGACTCGAACCCATACTGCCAGGAACACTGCATATGATATATATATATATATATATATATATATATATATATATATATATATATATATATATATATATATATATATATATATATATATATATATATATTTTTATATTATTGTGGTAGCAGTCTTTCTTGCAAACATATGTTATTGAATATGACCGAAAAGGTATGATAGATGATTCTAACGTGAATCCTTTAAATATTTTTTTTTTTACTGTAGGGGGAAGTTGAAAAATTAACTCTCCTAAGTTCATTTCACACTTTTATTTTTGGTCTCACGCATAGGGATGAGTTTTGCAAGGTCACTCCTTACATTCTGAATGACTGATTTATCATGCTGTTGTTGTTGTTGTTGCCTTAGATTCAGCTACTCGGAACAAAACGTTCCAAGTAACATGGGCTATGGTAAGCCCATAAGTGGAGGCTCTTTGGAGCCATTATCTGTATCAATAGCTGATACTAGAGATCTGAGGATGGATGGGGCCTTCATGGTGGATTTCATCCTCGCAGGGCTGGCTGTACCAGTTATGGAGCTGGTGGGTTAGTGTAGTCCTCTAGGTCTTCCGGTTTTTTTTGGATGAAACTTTGTCTGAGCCGCGCTGTCGTTGGAGTTTGGTGAGGTGCTATGAGGAGGTCTTGTACTGAGTAGGTGTAGTATTTATGGTGCGGCGGTGGAGCTCCTACTAAGATTTCCTCGTCTCAGGAGTCTGTAACATGCTTTTACCATGTTTTTGCACAAGGTTATATTTTCTTTGGGTGAGGTGGTACAGAACAAGTGGGTGAATGGCATAGCATAGGGAATGTTGATATGGTATTACATGCATCAATATAACCAGTTTATGTTCTTGCGGCTGCTTGTGTTTTTAAGGCAGGGTCATTGGATTTTGTCTCTGCGTTGGCTCGAGTTCTTGATGTTGGTAGAATGTAATTATGTGTTAACTGGTTGTTGATTGCTGGTCTTGACTTCTCTAGGCAATTCTCAAAGACTAATTTCTGCGCAAAAGCATGGTAAATTAGTCTTTGCGAATGTGAGGAGTTATCTTGTGAAACGCATCCCGAGGCATCAGACTAAAAATAAGTGTGAAAATGAACAGAGGAGAGTTCATTTTTCAACTTTATCCGAGAGTGAAGAAAAAACATAAGAAATAATGAAAATATTCGTGTTAGAATCATTAATCTTACTTTTTCGGTCATATTCAACTGAAATATATATATATAGTATGGTTAATTGAATATAACTACATATTCTGTGTCGAATATTTTCGTGTTTAGGGCTTCTATTTCTCTGACTAGTTCTCTTGCATCTTTTTTTAATTGGCAGAGGATTTCTCTAAAGCTATAAGAATAATTAACTGTAGAATGTATTACACTTATTATAAATTTACATTTTTCGAATCAACATTGAATTTATACATTCTGGAGGTCGGGTACATACAAATAGGTGTAGAGCAAGGAGGGTGAAGAATAAAGCCAAAAAATAAGGAAACGCACATATAGATTAATGAGGTGTCGTGGACACGGCGTTTTGAGCCGTGGACACGGCGTTTTGAGTCGTGGACACGGCGTTTTGAGTCGTGGACACGGCGTTTTGAGCCGTGGACACGGCGTTTTGAGCCGTGGACACGGCGTTTTGAGTCGTGGACACGGCGTTTTGAGTCGTGGACACGGCGGTTTGAGCCGTGGACACGGCGTTTTGAGTCGTGGACACGGCGTTTTGAGTCGTGGACACGGCGTTTTGAGTCGTGGACACGGCGTTTTGAGTCGTGGACACGGCGTTTTGAGTCGTGGACACGGCGGTTTGAGCCGTGGACACGGCGTTTTGAGCCGTGGACACGGCGTTTTGAGTCGTGGACACGGCGTTTTGAGTCGTGGACACGGCGTTTTGAGTCGTGGACACGGCGGTTTGAGCCGTGGACACGGCGTTTTGAGTCGTGGACACGGCGTTTTGAGTCGTGGACACGGCGTTTTGGGTCGTGGACACGGCGTTTTGAGTCGTGGACACGGCGTTTTGAGTCGTGGACACGGCGTTTTGAGTCGTGGACACGGCGTTTTGAGCCGTGGACACGGCGTTTTGAGTCGTGGACACGGCGTTTTGAGTCGTGGACACGGCGTTTTGAGTCGTGGACACGGCGTTTTGAGCCGTGGACACGGCGTTTTGAGTCGTGGACACGGCGTTTTGAGCCGTGGACACGGCGTTTTGAGTCGTGGACACGGCGTTTTGAGTCGTGGACACGGCGTTTTGAGTCGTGGACACGACGTTTTGAGTCGTGGACACGGCGTTTTGAGTCGTGGACACGGCGTTTTGAGTCGTGGACACGGCGTTTTGAGTCGTGGACACGGCGTTTTGAGTCGTGGACACGGCGTTTTGAGTCGTGGACACGGCGTTTTGAGTCGTGGACACGGCGTTTTGAGCCGTGGACACGGCGTTTTGAGTCGTGGACACGGCGTTTTGAGTCGTGGACACGGCGTTTTGAGTCGTGGACACGGCGTTTTGAGTCGTGGACACGGCGGTTTGAGCCGTGGACACGGCGTTTTGAGTCGTGGACACGGCGTTTTGAGTCGTGGACACGGCGTTTTGAGTCGTGGACACGGCGTTTTGAGTCGTGGACACGGCGTTTTGAGTCGTGGACACGGCGGTTTGAGCCGTGGACACGGCGTTTTGAGTCGTGGACACGGCGTTTTGAGTCGTGGACACGGCGTTTTGGGTCGTGGACACGGCGTTTTGAGTCGTGGACACGGCGTTTTGAGTCGTGGACACGGCGTTTTGAGTCGTGGACACGGCGTTTTGAGTCGTGGACACGGCGTTTTGAGTCGTGGACACGGCGTTTTGGGTCGTGGACACGGCGTTTTGAGTCGTGGACACGGCGTTTTGAGTCGTGGACACGGCGTTTTGAGTCGTGGACACGGCGTTTTGAGTCGTGGATACGGCGTTTTGAGCCGTGGACACGGCGTTTTGAGTCGTGGACACGGCGTTTTGAGCCGTGGACACGGCGTTTTGAGTCGTGGACACGGCGTTTTGAGTCGTGGACACGGCGTTTTGAGTCGTGGACACGGCGTTTTGAGTCGTGGACACGGCGTTTTGAGTCGTGGACACGGCGTTTTGAGCCGTGGACACGGCGTTTTGAGTCGTGGACACGGCGTTTTGAGCCGTGGACACGGCGTTTTGAGTCGTGGACACGGCGTTTTGAGTCGTGGACACGGCGTTTTGAGCCGTGTTGTCAACGTTGGCATCTTCACGTTCCGGTCTTGTTCTTACTCTCACGGTGAGTAGAGTGAATAGTTCCATTATTTGAGTTCCGTTCGACTTTTATGGCTTCAAGAATGTGTAATCTTCTTATATCTTGAGTCTTGTCTATTATACAATTATTTTTATTTAACATTTCTCTTGTTAGGGTGATGTCATGGGTTGTCTCATCTTAATTTTTTTATGTACTCTCTAATGAGGTTCCCCTAAAAATCATATGAAACAATTTGGTGAAAATTGTTAAAGGGATTAAGGGAAAGTCGTGAAGAGTAAAGGTATTGTAGGGCCAGAAAAGTGGCGTCGGTTCAGACAAGTGGTGAAGGGTCAGAAAAGTGGAGAAGGATCAAAGAAGTGGCTTAGAGTCAGAAAAGAGGTGTACGGTCAGAAAAGTGGTGGAAGGTAAAAAAAAAAGTGTGGGTCAGAAAAGTATGGTAAGGGAGATGGTGATTCTCACCTGGCGTCAATAACAGTGAAAAGACGCTCATCTTGCGTCAATAACAGTGAAGAGACGCTCATCTTGCGTCAATAACAGTGAAGAGACGCTCATATTGCGTCAATAACAGTGAAGAGACGCTCATATTGCGTCAATAACAGTGAAGAGACGCTCATATTGCGTCAAAACAGGTAAGAGACGTTCATCTGACGTCAATAATAATTGCTTCAAAATGCTCACAGATTTCAATAACAGAATAGTGTTGTTCACTGGGTGTGAATAACGGTATAGTGCTGTTCACTGGGTGTGAATAACGGTATAGTGCTGTTCACTGGGTGTGAATAACGGTATAGTGCTGTTCACTGGGTGTTAATAACAGAATAGTGTTGTTCACTGGGTGGGAATAACAGTATAGTGTTGTTCACTGGGTGTTAATAACAGAATAGTGTTGTTCACTGGGTGTGAATAACAGTATAGTGCTGTTCACTGGGTGTTAATAACAGAATAGTGCTGTTCACTGGGTGTGAATAACGGTATAGTGCTGTTCACTGGGTGTGAATAACGGTATAGTGCTGTTCACTGGGTGTAAATAATGGTATAGTGTTGTTCACTGGGTGTGAATAACGGTATAGTGCTGTTCACTGGGTGTGAATAACAGTATAGTGCTGTTCACTGGGTGTGAATAACAGTATAGTGCTGTTCACTGGGTGTGAATAACAGTATAGTGCTGTTCACTGGGTGTGAATAACAGTATAGTGCTGTTCACTGAGTGTGAATAACAGAATAGTGCAGTTCACTGGGTGTGAATTACAGCATACAGTTTCTCACCAGGAATCAAATAACCGCATAGAATGCTCACCAAAGGTTAGTAAGAGATCAAAGATGCTCATTTGGTGTCAATATCAGTGAAGCGATGAACATCTAGTGTCACTACCAGCGTGGAGATGCTCACCTGGTGTCAATATCAGCTCAAACATGCTCACCTGGTGTCAATATCAGCTCAAACATGCTCACCTGGTGTCAATAATGGCCCAGAGATCCTTACCTGGTGTCAATAACAGCCCAAGCATGCTCACCTGGTGTCATTGTTATAGCGAAGTATAGATGTTCTTGTGACAGAGAGAGACATCTGGCGGGAGACAGCGGGAGGACGGAGACCCTGGCGGCAACAAAGAACTTGCCTGAAACTCTCCCGGAAGTTCCTGGACATGAAGCCGTATACAATAGGGTTGACACAGCTGCAGGGAGACGGGGATTATTGAAGTGAATGCTCAAGGTCTTAGGAAGTGTGTTTGGAACTGTGTCATTCATTTCGTGGTTAGTGTTAAATGTTCTGATTTTCATAAATTGTTGAGAAACTTCACCATAATAGTATAACAACCCGTTCTCGCACTTTCTTACAGTCAATATTGACTTATTAAATACGTGCATATGTGACATACTAAACATACTAGTTTACCTTGAAAAGCTTCATAGAAAACACCGACCTTACCTAACCTTCTTAGTATGTTAAGATAAGCATCTTATTGCTTCCTAACTACAATTCTTACTTAACCTATACCTATAATAGGTTTACCTATACCTATAACAGGTTAAGTAATATTTGTAATTACGAAGCAATAAGATGCTTATCTTAACATGCTAAGAAGGTTAGGTAAGGTCGGTGTTTTCTATGAAGCTTTTCAAGGTAAACTAGTATGTTTAGTATGTCACATATGCACGTTTTTAATAAGTCAATATTGACTATACGAAAGTGCGAGAACGGGTTGAATGATGACCACTGAGGCCAACACATCTTATCAATATTTGGAATAATGCTTTGATACCAAAATTGCAACATTAGAATTCAATTTAAAAAAACTTTGGTTTTTGAATGAAATGAAAAAATCAGTGAAAAACATTGCAATGATAAGTGGCAAACTACATGGCTTAACTAGGCAATTTGTACACGACCAAGGGGGAAACTTAAGCGTTTGTTGTTGAGCTTACTTTGAAAGTATACTTTGAGTGCTGGTGGAGGTAGTGTGGAACACGACTGTCAAGTTGGGTGATATAGGGAAGGTTGAGGACAAGTTGGGTGATATAGGGAAGGTTGGGGACAAGTTGGGTGATATAGGGAAGGTTGAGGACAAGTTGGGTGATAAAGGGAAGGTTGAGGACACGTTGGGTGATATAGGGAAGGTTGAGGACAAGTTGGGTGATATAGGGAAGGTTGGGTGATAAAGGGAGGGTTGAGGACAAGTTGGGTGATATAGGGAAGGTCTAATGCAAGTTGGGTGATATAGGGAAGGTTGAGGACAAGTTGGGTGATATAGGGAAGGTTAAGGACACGTTGGGTGATATAGGGAAGGTTGAGGACAAGTTGGGTGATATAGGGAAGGTTGAGGACAAGTTGGGTGATATAGGGAAGGTTAAGGACACGTTGGGTGATATAGGAAAGGTTGAGGACAAGTTGGGTGATATAGGGAAGGTTGAGGACAAGTTGAGTGATAAAGAGAAGGTAGAGGACAAGTTGGGTGATATAGGGAAGGTTGAGGACAAGTTGAGTGATAAAGAGAAGGTAGAGGACAAGTTGGGTGATATAGGGAAGGTTGAGGACAAGTTGGGTGATAAAGGGAAGGTTGAGGACAAGTTGGGTGATAAAGGGAAGGTTGAGGACACGTTGGGTGATATAGGGAAGGTTGAGAACAAGTTGGGTGATATAGGGAAGGTTGAGAACAAGTTGGGTGATATAGGGAAGGTTGAGAACAAGTTGGGTGAAGCTGCGAAAGGTGACAAGGACGACTATGTCTGGATGAAGAAGTGTCAAGTCTAACCTATTGCAGTAGGAGAAGAGGTCGGCAGCCGTGACCACGTGCTTGAGTGGGACGGAGTAGGCCGGGATGATGGCGTAGGCCTTGAGAACGTTCACCACCAGGATGGGTCCCCAGCACACCACAAACAGCACCACCACCACAACCAACATCGACACAACCTGGAAATATACTTCGATTCTGAAACGTCTATCTTCCCTTTTTTGAAAATGTATAGGTTCTAGTCCATCTATTTAGAAGGATGTCCCTCCTACGAGTTATGGACGTAATCTCTTATTTTCGGGCGTTAAACATAGTTACTCCTACATGTGATGAAGGCAGTTATTCCATGTGATAAATGTAACGTCTCCGTAAAATGAAAAAAGCGAGAATGAGTTTTGTAATAATTTAGAAGAGATTAGTATGACAACAAAGTTAGGTTGAATATCAGAATTAGCTGTATAAGTGATATAAATTAATGTAATAAATATATTTTTTATATATAGTTGGGAGTAACACCTCTGCTTCCATATTGGTTCGGGGACTTGAAGTAGGTATATGCACAACTATATTCTACCTACTTCAAGACCCCGAACCAATATGGAAGCAGCAAGAGGAAGTATGGGCCAATAGACCTTCTGCAGTTACTTCCATTCATATGTTCACTTTTCCAATTTATACCCATTGTTTCGTGTTCTGTCTTGTGTTTGTCACCTCACCCAAAACTTTTGTACCATATCACCTCATCCAATAGAGTATAAGTACGAAGAATTTGTGTGTAAATTAAGTCTTTGAAAATGTAATACGAATTACGAAACGCGTTCAGGCGTCAGACAATTAAAAAATGAATTTCGGAGAATTATAATTTTTATTACCACCGACAGTGAAGAAAAACATAAGAAATATTGAGAAGATTCGTGTTAGAATTATTAATTTTACTTTTTCGGTCATATTCAACAACACACACACACACACACACACACACACACACACACACACACACACACACACACACACACACACTCTCCATAGTGTATAACAAATCACTGGCAACAGGGGAACTGCCAGATATTTGGAAAGCAGCTAACGTAGTCCCGATATACAAGAAAGGGGATAGACAGGAGGCACTGAACTACAGGCCAGTGTCCCTAAAATGCATACCATGCAAGCTGATGGAGAAGATTGTGCGAAAACAACTAGTGGAGCATCTGGAGCGAAGGAACTTTGTAACAAAGCATCAACATGGGTTCAGGGATGGCAGGTCCTGCCTCACAGTGTTAATTGAATTCTACGACCAGGCAACAAAAATAAGGCAAGAAAGAGAAGGGTGGGCAGACTGCATATTTTTGGATTGTCAGAAAGCCTTTGATACAGTGCCACACAAGAGGCTAGTGCGAAAGTTGGAGATGCAGGCTAGAGTGAAAGGGAAGGTACTCCGGTGGATAGAGGAGTACCTAAGCAACAGGAGACAACGAGTCTGTGTGAGGGGTGAGGTCTCAGATTGGCGAGACGTCACAAGTGGAGTCCCGCAGGGGTCAGTCCTTGGACCTATACTGTTTCTGGTATATGTAAATGATCTCCCAGAGGGTATAGATTCGTTCCTCTCAATGTTTGCTGATGATGCAAAAATTATGAGGAGGATTAAAACAGAGGATGATAGTAGGAGGCTACAAGATGACCTGGATAGACTGAGTGAATGGTCCAACAAATGGCTGTTGAAGTTCAACCCGAGTAAATGCAAAGTAATGAAACTAGGCAGTGGAAACAGGAGGCCAGGCACAGGATACAGAATAGGAGATAAAGTCCTTAATGAAACAGACAGAGAGAAAGATCTAGGAGTTGATATTACACCAAACCTGTCTCCTGAAGCCCACATAAAGAGAATAACGTCTGCGGCATATGCTAGGCTGGCTAACATCAGAACGGCGTTCAGGAACCTGTGTAAGGAATCATTCAGAATCTTGTACACCACATATGTAAGACCAATCCTGGAGTATGCGGCCCCAGCATGGAGCCCGTACCTTGTCAAGCACAAGACGAAGCTGGAAAAAGTCCAAAGGTATGCTTCTAGACTAGTCCCAGAACTAAGAGGCATGAGTTATGAGGAAAGGCTGCGGGAAATGCACCTTACGACACTGGAAGACAGAAGAGTAAGGGGGGACATGATCACAACCTACAAAATCCTCAGGGGAATCGACCGGGTAAACAAGGATGAACTATTCAACACTGGTGGGACGCGAACAAGGGGACACAGGTGGAAGCTGAGTACCCAAATGAGCAATAGAGACATTAGAAAGAACTTTTTCAGTGTCAGAGAAGTTAGTAAATGGAATGCATTAGGAAGTGATGTGGTGGAGGCTGACTCCATACACAGTTTCATATGTAGATATGATAGAGCCCAGTAGGCTCAGGAATCTGTACACCAGTTGATTGACGGTTGAGAGGCGGGACCAAAGAGCCAGAGCTCAACCCCCGCAAGCACAATTAAGTGAGTACAATTAGGTGAGTACACACACACACACACACACACACACACACACACACATATATATATATATATATATATATATATATATATATATATATATATATATATATATATATATATATATATATATATATATATATATATATATATATATATGTGTGTGTATATCACGAAAATAAACACGTGATTAAGAATGTGACAATATACATTGTCATATATATATATATATATATATATATATATATATATATATATATATATATATATATATATATATATATATATATATATATATATATATATATATATATATATATATATATATATATATATATATATATATATATATATATATATATATATATATATATATATATGTTTCATTGAATATGACCGCATTTTCTGTATTTAATATTTTCTGGTTTAGGGCTTCTATCCCTCTAACTATTTTCTTAGCATCAGGGCTTAGCTGAAATAGGAGTTCTCCAAAACTCATTTTCGTAATTTTAAGGTGAAGAAAAGAAGTGAATTACTATAGAATGTATAACACTTATTTATACAATTTGCAAATTGTTTGAAATAAATCCTGCTGCCATTATACACCAATATATATATATATTATTAAATATGACCGAAAAAGTAAGATTATTAATTCTAACACGAATTTTCTCAATCTTTCGTACATTTCTTTTCACTGTTGGAGGTAATTCAAAAATCAATTCTCCAAAATTCATTTTTATTTCTAGTCTGACGCGACACTTGAGCGCGTTTCGTAAAACTTATTACATTTTCAAAGACTTTAGTTAACACATACACAACTGAATAGAACTTACACATCTCCGATTTTGTTTATATCTACATTTGAGTGAGGTGGATGGGGTGAGGTGGTATTTAATAAGGTATTAATTTCATCAACACAAGCCAGAACATGAAACAATGGGTATTGAATAGAAGTGATTGTAGAAAGCCTATTGGTCCATATTTCTTGATGCTTCTATATTGGAGCGGAGTCTTGAGGTGGGTAGAATATAGTTGTGCATTAATTGGCTGTTGATTGCTGGTGTTGACTTCTTGATGTGTAATGCCTCGCAAACGTCAAGCCGCCTGCTATCGCTGTATCTATCGATGATTTCTGTGTTGTTTACTAGGATTTCTCTGGCGATGGTTTGGTTGTGGGAAGAGATTATATGTTCCTTAATGGAGCCCTGTTGCTTATGCATCGTTAAACGCCTAGAAAGAGATGTTGTTGTCTTGCCTATATACTGGGTTTTTTGGAGCTTACAGTCCCCAAGAGGGCATTTGAAGGCATAGACGACGCTAGTCTCTTTTAAAGCGTTCTGTTTTGTGTCTGGAGAGTTTCTCATGAATAGGCTGGCCGTTTTTCTGGTTTTATAGTAAATCGTCAGTTGTATAATCTGATTTTTGTCTGTAGGGATAACGTTTCTATTAACAATATCTTTCAGGACCCTTTCCTCCGTTTTATGAGTTGTGGAAAAGAAGTTCCTGTAAAATAGTCTAATAGGGGGTATAGGTGTTGTGTTGGTTGTCTCTTCACAGGTTGCATGGCGTTTCACTTTCCTTCTTATGATGTCTTCGACGAAACCATTGGAGAAGCCGTTGTTGACTAGGACCTGCCTTACCCTACAGAGTTCTTCGTTGACTTGCTTCCATTCTGAGCTGTGGCAGAGAGCACGGTCGACATATGCGTTAACAACACTCCTCTTGTACCTATCTGGGCAGTCGCTGTTGGCATTTAGGCACATTCCAATGTTCGTTTCCTTAGTGTAGACTGCAGTGTGGAAACCTCCGCTTTTTTCCATGACTGTTACATCTAGAAAGGGCAGCTTCCCACCCTTTTCCATCTCGTAAGTGAAACGCAGCACAGAACTCCGCTCAAATGCCTCCTTCAACTCCTGCAGATGTCTGACATCAGGTACTTGTGTAAAAATGTCGTCAACATACCTGCAGTATATGGCCGGTTTCATGTTCATGTCGACTAAGACTTTTTGCTCGATGGTACCCATGTAGAAGTTTGCAAACAGGACACCTAGGGGAGAACCCATGGCGACCCCATCTACTGCGTTCCGTGCTGCGTTTCACTTACGAGATGGAAAAGGGTGGGAAGCTGCCCTTTCTAGATGTAACAGTCATGGAAAAGAGCGGAGGTTTCCACACTGCAGTCTGCACTAAGGAAACGAACATAGGAATGTGCCTAAATGCCAAAAGCGACTGCCCAGATAGGTACAAGAGGAGTGTTGTTAACGCATATGTCGACCGTGCTCCCAGCCACAGCTCAGAATGGAAGCAAGTCGACGAAGAACTCTGTAGGATAAGGCAGGTCCTAGTCAACAACGGCTTCTCCAATGGTTTCGTCGAAGACATCATAAGAAGGAAAGTGAAACGCCATGCAACCTCTGAAGAGACAACCAACACAACACCTATACCCCCTATTAGACTATTTTACAGGAACTTCTTTTCCACAGCTCATAAAACGGAGGAAAGGGTCCTGAAAGATATTGTTAATAGAAACGTTATCCCTACAGACAAAAATCAGAGGATACAACTGACGATTTACTATAAAACCAGAAAAACGGCCAGCCTACTCATGAGAAACTCTCCAGACACAAAACAGAACGCTTTAAAAGAGACTAACGTCGTCTATGCCTTCAAATGCCCTATTGGGGACTGTAAGCTCCAAAAAACCCAGTATATAGGCAAGACAACAACATCTCTTTCTAGGCGTTTAACGATGCATAAGCAACAGGGCTCCATTAAGGAACATATAATCTCTTCCCACAACCAAACCATCGCCAGAGAAATCCTAGTAAACAACACAGAAATCATCGATAGATATAGCGATAGCAGGCGGCTTGACGTTTGCGAAGCATTACACATCAAGAAGTCAACACCAGCAATCAACAGCCAATTAATGCACAACTATATTCTACCCACCTCAAGACTCCGCTCCAATATAGAAGCATCAAGAAATATGGACCAATAGGCTTTCTACAATCACTTCTATTCAATACCCATTGTTTCATGTTCTGGCTTGTGTTGATGAAATTAATACCTTATTAAATACCACCTCACCCCATCCACCTCACTCAAATGTAGATATAAACAAAATCGGAGATGTGTAAGTTCTATTCAGTTGTGTATGTGTTAACTAAAGTCTTTGAAAATGTAATAAGTTTTACGAAACGCGCTCAAGTGTCGCGTCAGACTAGAAATAAAAATGAATTTTGGAGAATTGATTTTTGAATTACCTCCAACAGTGAAAAGAAATGTACGAAAGATTGAGAAAATTCGTGTTAGAATTATTAATCTTACTTTTTCGGTCATATTTAATAATATATGTCTACAGGAAAGACTGCTACCAAAATATACCTATATATATATATATATATATATATATATATATATATATATATATATATATATATATATATATATATATATATATATATATATATATATGTGTGTGTGTGTGTGTGTGTCGTACCTAGTTGAAGAACGCACTTCTCGGCCTACTATGCAAGGTCCGATTTGCCTAATAGGCCGAGTGATTTTCTTTATTTTAAATAAATTGTTTCCAGTTGGTTTATTTTAAATATTTGTATTATATTATATCAAGAACATAAATTATTGATTTAGTTATGTTAGTTTAGGTTAGGTTAAGATAGATTAGGTTAGGTTAGGTAGGGTAGGTTGGGTTCGGTCATATATCTCCGTTAGTTGTAACTCAAATTTAAAAAAATTTACTCAGATATAATGAAATGAATAGCTTTATCATTTCATAAGAAAAAAACTTAGAAAAATATTGAAATTCAGGAAAACTTGGCTTATTAGGCAAATCGGGCCTTGCTTAGTAGTCCAAGAAGTGCATTCTGGATACTAAGTACGATATATATATATATATATATATATATATATATATATATATATATATATATATATATATATATATATATTATATATATATATATATATATATATATATATATATATATATATATATATATATATATATATATATATATCGTACCTAACAGCCAGAACGCACTTCTATGCCTACTATTCAAGGCCCGATTTGCCTAATAAGCCAAGTTTTCATGAATTAATTGTTTTTCGACTACTTAACCTACCTAACCTAACCTAACCTAACTTTTTCTGCTACCTAACCTAACCTAACCTATAAAGATAGGTTAGGTTAGGTTAGGTAGGGTTGGTTAGGTTTGGTCATATATCTACGTTAATTTTAACTCAAATAAAATAAAATTGACCTCATACATAATGAAATGGGCAGCTTTATCATTTCAAATGAAAAAATTTAGAGAAAATATATTAATTCAGGAAAACTTGGCTTATTAGGCAAATCGGGGCTTGCATAGTAGGCTGAGAAGTGCGTTCTGGCTACTAGGTACGACATATATATATATATATATATATATATATATATATATATATATATATATATATATATATATATATATATATATATATATAATTATATATATATATATATATATATATATATATATATATATATATATATATATATATATATATATATGTCGTACCTAGTAGCCAGAACTCACTTTTTGGCCTACTATGCAAGGCCCGATTTGCCTAATAAGCCAAGTTTTCATGAATTAATTGTTTTTCGACTACCTAACCTACCTAACCTAACCTAACCTAACTTTTTCGGCTACCTAACCAAACCTAACCTATAAAGATAGGTTAGGTTAGGTTAGGTAGGGTTGGTTAGGTTCGGTCATATATCTACGTTAATTTTAACTCCAATAAAAAAAAATTGACCTCATACATAATGAAATGGGTAGCTTTATCATTTCATAAGAAAAAAATTAGAAAAAATATATTAATTCAGGAAAACTTAGCTTATTAGGCAAATCGGGCCTTGCATAGTGGGCCAAAAAGTGAGTTCTGGCTACTAGGTACGACATATATATATATATATATATATGATTTATTTTCTACAACTTTTCTTTCCTATCTGCAACATCTTGAGATAAGGAATGAATGCATGAGGTAATTTTTTTTGGCTAAATACACATATGAAAGAATGGAAGGAAGGAACTATCAGGGGAATGCGCCAAGCCATTACGACTAAATAGCACTGGGAAAGGGGTCAGGATAAGGATTTGGGATATATATGAGAAAGCTGCATGAACGCACAAGCCATAGATCACTCAAAACTCTTTGACCCGGCCAGGATTCGAACCCATGCCGTCAGGATCACCCCTAAACGTACACTGTACCGTGACCACCGCACCAATGATCGTCTATAAGGATTGGTCATTCCTAGTGCTTATTAACTAAGCTCCCTGAATGATCAACCCCCGACGACACTCATGGATCCATTTGGGTACAGTTTTTCATCAAATTCTGGCGCATGCACGGGCCGCACTGAGTTTAACATGTGTGAGAAAGCGGCATGAACGCGCAAGCCATAGATCAGGGAGCTTAGTTAATAAGCACCAGGACTGACCAATCCTTATAGACGATCATTGGTGCGGTGGTCACGGTACTGTGAACGTTTAGGGGTGTTCCTGGACGGCATGGGTTCGAATCCTGGTCGGGTCAAAGAGTTCTTAGTTATATGTTGTATGTTGTATCTAGTAGTCAGAACGTCGTACTCGGCCAACTATGCAAGGCCCGATTTGCCTAATAAGGCAAGTTTTCCTGAATTTATATATTTTTCAAATTTTTTCTTATGAAATGATAAATCTGCCCATTTCATTATGTATAAGTTAATTAGTTATTTTGTTTAAATTTAAGTTAAAACTAACGTAGATATATGTCCGAACCTAACCAACCCTACCGAACGTAACCTAACCTATCTAAACCTAACCTAAACTAACACAACTAAGTCAATATTTTATGTTCCTAATATAATATAATAATAATAATACAAATTAACATATTGGAAACAATTTATTGAAAATAAAGAAAATCACTCGGCCTATTAGGCAAATTGGGCATTGCATAGTAGGCCAAGAAGTGCGTTCTGGCTACTAGGTACGACATATATATATATATATATATATATATATATATATATATATATATATATATATATATATATATATATATATATATAAATGTAATAAATTATAATTATAATTATAAATAAAAATAAATTATAATTACTAAATGACAGACTAGCACTGGTCTTGACAACATGAGGTGAGTGTGGACGATGTTCCAAGACTTCTCTACTATGGCTACATATTAAGAGATTCATGCAATGAAACGGTGGTATGCATCTTTAATTCATTTTTAATACACTAAAATATTCCGTATTTTATTGTGCATCGGATAAATTCTAAAAGCGCAGAATAATATTGGATTAATCAATAACTTGTGGAAGGATGCATGCTTAAATATGCCCACAGGATGATAAAACAAACAATTTCAAGATTGAATACAAAAAGAGGCTATTCATGATTGGAAGATGGGTAATTGTTACATTTTTAGATGGGTGTGTGTCACCCAGGCATAAGATGGGTGATGGTGTGTCATCAATGAACAAGATGGATGATGGTGAGTCACATATAACATGAGTAACATGAGAGAAAGAGAGGATAGGAGGAGAAGGAGAATGAGAGAGACACCCTGGCACATATTGATATCTCGATGTATGTTTGTCCGAGGACAGAGGACTGATGATTGGGATTTGCCTTACTAAATTCTGCTTGATTCAAGGTGATTTTACGGAGAGTGTCATATGGGAGTCGGGGGTTGTCCCTCATGAAGGGGCAGTCAGCCCTATACCCCTTATAACTAGTCGGTGGAAATGAAATGTGCCGCCAGAAGTCCATAGAGTTTATCATTTACTTAAATATTCATTGCATGAACAAATCCACAAGGGCCGTAATCTTAAGATGATTTTGGGGCTTTTTTTAGTGTCCCCGCGGCCCGGTCCTCGACCAGGCCTCCACCCCAGGAAGCAGCCCGTGACAGCTGACTAACACCCAGGTACCTATTACCTATGCCGTGAAGAGTGTTCGAACCTATGTCCGAGAGGATCCCAGACGCGCCTTAATCGACTGAACTACGACATGGTATAAGAATTGAAACTACGTCCGGGATCCTCTCGGACGTACGTTCGAACCCTCGTCACGGCCCTTGTGGATTTGTTCATTTGATGCATCACGCTATTGTGATTTCTGTGTGTAATTCATTACATAGTTATTCCCATTCATTATGAAATTGCTTAGATTTTGATGAGTTATATGTAAAAATTATATATTGCTTTGGAGAAAACGGCAATGACTCGATTTAGAGTCGAGACTTTGACGGAAACTTTGTTAAAAATATAATTGTGGGAGATGTGTTCTTACCTGCCGCACCTCAGACTCTTCCGTTGCCCGTCGACGGCCTCGTGTTGAACCGTTCAGCAACAGAACGCCGTTGGCCCTGTGGAAGACGCTGTTTCAGAACTTCTTTTGTAGCGCACAAATACACTAGGAGCAAGCAAAAAACCAAGGTAAACAAATAAAAAAAATTAAGATCGCATAAAAGGGATAAATCCACAGGGATGACACAAAGGCAAGATAACAAGACAGGGCAAAGGCCACACGAACGATTCGTGTACAAGTGAGAGGGGAAGCTGCAGGGAGTTGATCATGGGAAATACCACAGACAAGGACAAACAAACACAAACAAACGCAACACGTCTCAGGCAAAACAAATTTTTTTCTAGGAGGCTGGAAAAGCCTAATGCATCGTAATTTATCCTATCGTCCACATACCGCCCAATAAATACCAAAGTCCAGAAGCCAAATATCTCCAGAAATTAGATCACTAATCATATGTTTGGTTTGTGTTTCATGGTGCATCTAGAAATATTACGGCGGTAAGCTCCGACGTCCGCAGACCACCGCTTACATCTGTCCTTTGCCTGTGATGGTGCGTCGCTGCACTACCATGAAGATGATGGCATTGCTGATGGCGGCGTAGGCTGCGGCCATGACACAGGCAGGCACCAGCAGCACCAGCACCAGCATGTAGGTCTCGTAGCTCCTCCAGAGTAGCGGGGAGTCGAAGTCCCGCACGCACCAGTACGCCCGCACCCTCTCACCCACCTCCATGTGTACCTGGGTGACGGAGGACAGGCCGATCACATCTTTTATCTCGGAGTCTACTATTACTTTGGCGGATATTAACGAGTGAAGTTCAAGATCTCATTACCTTAACAATAACAAGTACAGACAACAGCAAAATTTGGGTGACGTTCAAAATGCAAACCTAGACTTATGAAAAATGAAGGTGTTTTTGTTACAGAATGAAATACCATATGCAATGAAAACTGGCTGTCAGTTACTTTAATTACTGTAAATATTATACACGATAGTGTTTACATTTTTACATGTTCATGCAATCCAAATCGAATCATAATCTAGACATTTTAATCAGTGATCTACCATCAATAAGATCACTTAGCCCTTCTCCTACTGAAAATTTATCATCCATTCCATTTTGTGCTACTAATCAGGGTTGCGATGAACTTGAAAATATCACATCAAGATGCCTGCTAGTACGAGGCCCCGGTACTCAACACACAGTAGCCCTGGTGGTCATGTACTTCTGCCCCACCGTCAAAGGGCTGCGCCTGGTGATAACGGAAGGTACTTTGTGTCCGGTACTGCCACACAGCTCCTGTTGGCAATGTAAAAGATACATAATGCCTGCCGAAGGAAGGCCCCTGGTGGCAACGGAAGGTATCGACTCACCTGCAGGAGGAAGACTGGACAGGCCAGCAGAACGGAGAGGAGCCATATGGCAAGACAGAAGCGGCGGGCCTGGGAGATGGTACAGCGGTACTGGGCTCTCATGGGGTACACGATGGCATAGTACCTGTAAAAAGAAGTATGGTCACAAGTGCGTAGTAATGCCAGAAAAATTGCTAAATGATGATTATGATGGAAAACTATGGTCATTTAAGACGAGATTTTTCAAAGGAAGATAGAGAGAGAAGCTTAAACTTAACCTTTAGGAAGCAAAACATCTAAACTAGGATAGGAAAGAAGAAGAAAGAATTTCTTTATTCCTACAAGGGGATAGGGATCGGGAAGGCTGTGAAATGATACACATAAGCAAACCAACAAAATTATTAGAAGGAGAGTGGAGGACAAAGCAGGTAATGTTTCTGAAAAACTGTGAACATAGATGGATTTAGGTACAACCACTGGCGTTAAATGACACAATGCTGTTTAACCAGAAATTAACGCTTTAGCAGAAATGAAACTGGAAGATAACATTTTAAATGAGGTGGTATTCTTAAGGGGGTGGGGGGGGGGGCTGCACTGTTTGGAGACGTGACAAAAGTTAAAAAAAAGATGTTGGTGTTGCATTTATGGTGAAGGAGTGACTAATGATAATAGGATAATTAATACTTGACAACCCGTGAGCAGCTCATATAATAGCACTGGAGATCTGCAATCAGGATGATGAACAGATGAGCGTTATTACCTACAGTCCACCAGCAACAAACACATAGACTAAAGAATAGCTTAATGACAAAAGAGAAAGAAACTTATAATAATTATGAGAAAGAACATAGTAAGAGGGAAAAACAGATAAATCACGATTGTACATTCTTGGCGACGTCAATTTGAAAGCTGAGAAGCCTACGAAGCATTAATGGAGAAATTCTTGACAGGCTCATTCGTAAATTTCATCCTGGAAACTTTCAAGTACCCACATTTTAAACAGCCTACGAGAATGAGGGAAAGGGATGCTCCATCTTTCCTGGAGTTGGAATTTACCAGGAAAGAACAACAGATATTTGACATTCAGAGCCATCCTCCATTAGTCAAGTGCGAGCATGTCCTGTTGGAAGCCAAATATACAATTCATTATAATTATTCTAGAAGATAATGAGGGAAAATGGATCAGTTTAACAAGAACTTATGAGAGGAGCCCGAGAACGGAAGAAAAAATAAAATACCATACTGTGGTTTGGTTAGATGACCAAACCACAGACCAGGAGAAAAGACGACGACGGTTCGGTCCGTCCTGGACCATTATCAGGTCGACTGTGGTCCAGGACGGACTGGAAAAGTCGTCGTCTCTTCATCTCCTGGTGTGTGGTTAGATTATCATATCTTCAGCCACGGTATTGTGACTCATCGTCTGCATATAGAATCAACAAAGGGACAGACCTAACCCTCTGAGATATTAGCAGTACAAACGAGCAAGAAACACGGCGGTGAGAAATAAGCAGAAAGAAACTTTGAGAAATGGGTAGTGGACAAAGTGGACAAATGGCAGTAGACAAATGTAAAGCAGAACAAAGCCTTCTCTATAAATTTATAAAATACAAGCTGCATGTAATGGATAAAATTGCAGAGACTAAGAATGAGGAACAGGTTCAAAGAGAATGAAAAAAGAAATGAGTAAAATACTAAATGAGCGGTTTCAAAATGTGTCAGCAAAAGGAGGGTTCCAGGGAACCAGACAGTGCCAATTTCAGAGAACACCATGGAGATGTCTCGAGTCCTAGGAACTAGGAAGAAAGAAAGAATAGGATACGCACCTGAGCTGAGAATTCTACTTAAATTGACTTTTCAGATATCTTTATACTCTGGATTTTTTTAACAGATATATATGGAAAAAAGCGAACATGTATCCAGTCGACAAAAGTGGTAGCAGAAAAAAACCTCTAAATCATAGATACGTATCACCGACAAGCGTGGTAGTCAAAATATTAGACAAAATAATTCAATGAAATAGGTTGAATACCTAGACTAATAATACACCGACGGACAGGCAGCTTTCGAACAGGAAGATCTTGTGTAACAAATGTACCTAGTTTCTGGCTATTTAAAAAAGGTGGATACCTCACAAAGAATGTTAAGAAAGTGTGCGAAGAACTTAATAAAGGTTTCCAGGAATTTTTTAAGGTAGAGCCAGAGCTTTCCCCAGATCAACGACATCTGATGAAGAGACACTACCAGAAGAAAGTGACTGAAATTAGTGGTAACAATAAAGGAAGTACAAAAATAATTAAATGAGCTGGATATAATGAAAGTCACAGCCCCTGATAAGATCTCTCCACGGATCATAAAAGAGGCAGCGTCAGGATTGTGTGAATGTTTTTGTTCACCTCGCAGTAAACATGTACCTGGGAGTTAGACAGCTGTTGTGGGATACATCTTGGGAAAGTGTATGAGTGTGTGTGCGTGTGTGTGTGTGTGTGCGTGTGTGTGTGTGTGTGTGTGTCTGTGTGTGTACATTTAAATGCACAAAATTGAGAGATAACGACATATCAGCTAGACTTGCCTGATATTCAGAGTTGCCGAAGGTTACAAGTCGACAATTATCAAGTCGATTGTGAGTTGATAATGATACAATCGACTTGATAAATGGTTCAGGACGGACCGAAACGTCGTCATCTCTTCAATTTCTAGTGTGTGATTTGTTCAACATTTTTCAGCCACGTTATTGTGACTCATCATCTGCTTACCCATTATTCCTACCTATTTCCCCTATTCCTTGCTCTATGGTTGATTGTCCCCCATTTTCCTTCAACCCGTCATCTCACTACACACAACTTCACCCTTTCCACAAGTATATATAACAGAAAAATTAACTCTAAACATTCATTCTTTACCTGAAGATGTTACAGAATGGAAAGAAACGTTGTAGAAAATAAATCCTTCAATAATTACTAGAGGTTTTTTACCATGAATTTTGTCAGTGATTGCCTTCTTAACACTGACACAGAAAATAGGAGTATATAATACGTGCACTATAAGATAAACAATGCTATCAGTGTTGTCAAATTTTATCAAATAAAATAATTGTATATATTCACTAATATTATACAATTGTCAGGTAAAAAATATTTTGACGTAAGGGAAGGTTTACCAATTTGTCAAGCAGTAAGTTCATCTATGATGTACAATGCAAATATTATATTGATAAACATTCCGAGGCATCTCCAAGAACATTGTGTAGCAAAGACTATTCAAATTCGCCTCAACAAACACATTGCTAGAAAATACCTCTACTGCAGCTTAACATCATTTACGCTCCAATTCCATTCAACGAATTTTCCATAAATGATCCTGGCTATTAACTTTCTAAACGCTATTAAACTCCATAAGGGGAGTGTAAAGTCATTAAGTAAGCATGCAGAATGTAGTCTTCCATGCGAGGCTTGATGTCCCCACCAGCGGGACTCTTCTACAAGACTTTGTAGAGAGAAAATGCTCTTGGGCAGCTCCCAGAATCAAAATCCAGATTCCCGGTAAAATGACCTCGTCAGTTTCGTCCTGTCTATTGGATAATAACCAACTCATTCAATAAAGTGGAGTAGAAATACTCTCCACCCTTGGCGTGATTCCAACACTATACATTTCTATAAAGAAAGACTGATATAAATGGATCTTAATTCACTAAATAAAACAATGAAATGGGAGACATGATAAATATGTACATGATACTAAAGGAGAGTTAACAAAGCAGATATAAAGTCATAAGGCGTCACAGTTGAGACCTGGAAATACAGATGAGTCGTATAGAGAACTGAAGAAACTTTTCAGCTTAAGAGTCGTAAATGAGAAGAACGACAAGACGATCATGTTGTGTAAGCTAATTCAGTACTCGGTTTAAGGGAGCACAACTTCGTTTCTAGAAGGTGAAGGGACGACGACGTTTCGGTTCGTCTTGGGCCATTCTCAAGTCGATTGTGAGACTCACATTCTCACACAATCGACTTGAGAATGGTCCAGGACGGACCGAAACGTCGTCGTCCCTTCACCTTCTAGTGTGTGGTCTGGTCAACTTACTTTAGCCACGTTATTGTGACTCATTGCCTGCAACTTCGTTTCTTATAAGTTGTTCAATGTCAACCAATCTTTATTGTCTAGATATACATATGGAGGGCTGCAATTCTTCCAAGTTTTTGTATCGCAGCTTAAATAGAAAGGGATAATTTTTTTTTTTTAAATTTTACACATTGTCAGTAAGCCTCTACAACCACAAATTTCAAATAAAATAATTTCTATGACACTCTTCTATCACATTAGCATATAATAAAATATCTGATTGAGCGGATTTTCCAAAATATGTTTAGTTTCACTAATACAAATAGTCAAAGTTCCTCCCAAAATTATGCAAATATATCATGTTTATTACTGTTTATAAAATCAATAAATGAACTTAGGAAAAAACGCTTCCTACAGATTGTAGAGACATAAATTCTACAAATAAGATGTAAGTTTCATGTAAATTGAATAAAAAATTAAAGATTAGAAGTTACGTTTATATTACTTGAAATTTTAATAATTAAAAAAAAATGAAGTCTAAGGTGCTGCCATCTGTGGCTGAGGTTGACATCAACCAATTTCCTCCAAAATTGGCACCCTTACAGATAGGCTTACGTGCAGTCAGGTGTATAAGTTTCATGCAAATCGTCCGATAAACAAATAAGAACAAAAAAATAATTAACAATTTTTTGGGGGGAAAAACAAATTATTATTTTTTTTAATTATATGCTATTGTGATAGTTGAGAGTCATAGACATGGTTTCAGTTGACACTTGTGTTTCATGTTAATTTTTTAACATTTTGGAAAATTGATGACACATAATTTAATATATTTTTTTCTCCCTTCCAATTTATGCAAAAAGGCTGCTGAGACTCGGACCATACGAAGCCCTTTTCATATACAACTAGTCCAAAAAATTTGATTGAAATCGAACATGTTTTAATTTATTGCATAATTTTGACATATTTTAAAGTTATTACGAAACACGTATTAAACGTGAATAAAAACGTATTATGAAAACGAGTACAAAGATCCATTTGGCAGAACCACGGGTGGGCGAAATGTGATTTGCTTTTGGGTAGGTGCTCGACCTTGCAAGCACAACTAGGTGAGTAAAATTAGATTAGTACACACACACACACACACACACATACACACACACACACACACACACACACACACACACACACACACACACATACACACACACACACACACACACACACACACACACACACACACACACACACAGAGTACTGACCTCTCTAAGCTCATGATAGTGAGAGTGAGGACGGAGCATATGGCTGAAAGAGCCTGGAGATAGTGGAGCATCTTGCACATCACTTCTCCCAACGTCCACGAGTACGAGAACAGCTTCGCCAGCTGGAATATAAATATATCGTACATCAGGCAACAGTTGCATTATAAACATATCGTACATCAGGCAACAGTTGCATTATAAACATATCGTACATCAGGCAACAGTTGCATTATAAACATATCGTACATCAGGCAACAGTTGCACTATAAACATATCGTACATCAGGCAACAGTTGCATTATAAACATATCGTACATCAGGCAACAGTTGCATTATAAACATATCGTACACCTGGGATAACTGTTAACATATCCCTGTTACCTAGCAGTAAAATAGGTACCTGGGTGTTAGTCAGCTGTCACAGGCTGCTTCCTGGGGGTGGAGGCCTGGTCGAGGACCGGGCCGCGGGGACACTAAAGCCCCGAAATCATCTCAAGATAACCTCAAGATACATCAGGCAACAGTTGCATTATAAACATATCGTACATCAGGCAGCAGTTGCATTATAAACATATCGTACATCAGGCAACAGTTGCATTATAAACATATCGTACATCAGGGAACAGTTGCATTATAAACATATCGTACATCAGGCAACAGTTGCATTATAAACATATCGTACATCAGGCAACAGTTGCATTATAAACATATCGTACATCAGGCAACAGTTGGATTATAAACATATCGTACATCAGGCAATAGTTGCAAACAAAAAAAATATGCTAGGAAGGTATCCTGCATTGCCCGAGTCTTTTTCTGTCTCCCATTTGTTCAACTATCTATCCATTCATTTATCAATCCATTTATTTATCCATCTATCCACCTATTTTTTATCTATACATGTATCCATCCATCTATCGATCTATCTATTCATCCATCCATCAATCTACCTATCCATCTATATATCTATCTATCCATCTATAAATCTTTCTATCCAGCCATCTATAAATCTATCTATCCAACTATTTATCCACCTCTCTCTTTATCAACCCCATCTATCCATTTAGCCACTTATCCATCGATCTTTACATTTACCCATCCACCTGTATATCGATCTATCCATCCATCTGTATATTAATCAATACATCCATCAATCAATCCATCTATCATTCTATCTATTCGTCTTCATCATCAAAATCATAGTGCCTCAAGACTCATTGTGCCTCAAGGCTCTGTCCTGGGACCTCTGTTGTCTATATAAATATAAATGGAACTGTTCGTTTGTGCATAACCGCTAATCTCCGAAAGTTCTTCACCGATTGCTTTGAAATTTTTACACAACGTTCCATTCGCATCCGGCCAGGTTTTTATATACATACTATATAGATGTCACGTCTGTGACGGTAAAAAAAAATGTTTTTTTTTCCCTGAAGAAAAAAGACATCCGGCATTTCATGTGAGGGAAATCTTCGAAACCTCTTTACCGATTGCTTTGAAATTTTGACACAACGTTGCATTCGATTAGGCGCGTTTTTTTATATATCTACTATATACATGCCTCACCTGTGACAGGAAAAAAACATGCTTTTTTTGAAAAACAGCGCCATCTGTTGAACGTAAGAGCAACACACGCTGTAAACTCCAAAAGTTGTACACCAATTGCTTTGAAATTTTTACACAACGTTGCATTCGAATAGGCGCGTCTTTTTATATATCTTCTATATAGATGCCACACCAGTGACACGTAAAAAACATGCGTTTTTAAAAAAACAGCGCCATCTGTTGCACATAATAGCAACATGCACGCTATACTAAATATGTCACGAATTATATTTCAATGTTTCCGATTGCATTGATAAATTTTATTTTCATAGATTTCGCATTATTTTATTTGTTATTCAACTATTTTGTGTGACATTGTGTTGGAATTGAGATGTGTTATTTAACATACCGTTCGTTTCGTAAGTATAAGTATAGAACTATGCTTTTCTTGAAAAACAGCGCCATCTGTTGCATGTATGAGGTTATCTTGAGATGATTTTGGGGCTTTAGTGTCCCTGTGGCCCGGTCCTCGACCAGGCCTCCACCCCCAAGAAGCAGCCTGTGACAGCTGACTAACACCCAGGTACCTATTTTACTGCTAGGTAACAAGGGCATAGGATGAAAGAAACTGCCCATTGTTTCTCGCCGGCGTTCGGGATCGAACCCGGGACCACAGGATCACAAGCCCAGTGTGCTGTCAACTCGGCCGACCGGCTCCCCGACATGAGCAACACACATGCTATACTAAATATGTTACAATTCCATTTCAATGTTTCAATTGCATTGATAAATTGAATTTTCATAGATTTTGATTTATTTTCATTTTCATTTAATTATTTTGTGTGAATTGCGTTGGAATTAAGCTGTGTTGTTTAGCATACCGTTCATTTTGTGAGTATAGTTAATTTTTTATTTTTTCATATTTTCATTTCATTTTTTAACTGTTTTTCTTATATTTCAGTGATGGGAACATCAGATCACTTGATGTTCCCAATTTTCTGATGGGAACATCAGACCATTTGGGAAGACATCGGACGAGGGAGTGGGGAATGGTGGGGATGACGAGGGGACGGAAGTGAGAGATTGTGGGGAGGACGAGGGGACGGGAGAGTTTGGGATGGTGGGGACGAGGGGATGGAGGAATGGAGAATGGTGGAGAGGATAAAGGAACAGTGGAGTCTGGCTTGGTGGGAAGGAAGAGGGGATTGTGGAGTGGGGAATGGTGGGGAGGACTGGGGGACAGGGAAGGTTGCTGTGGCTCAGCAACGCCTGGCCGGGTACTGCTAGTTCATAATAAAAACTTAAACTATTACACCTGAACCTTAACAAACCATTACACCTTAACAAGCCATTAACTCTGTGCCCGGTATCGTGTCCACAGTCTGAGGAGGGCCGCGTCCGGATACACTTCAGAAGTGTTATGCATATTAATTCGAAAATTACCATAATGGTGTTTTTAACATGACCTTGTGAACTGGTTATTTACCAGCGGTGTGGCCCGAGGGAAGGAGGTGATGGGTGTGGTGAGGAACGGTGAGGGACGCTGGTGAGAGAAGTGAGAGAGAGGGGCCTCTGAGAGCTATGAGGGGCGTAGGTGAGACTGACAAGGAGCGCTGGTGAGGGTGATGAGAAGTTGATGAGAGTGGTGGGAAGTTAGTGAGTGTGGTGGGAAGTTGGTGAGAGTGGTGGGAAGTTGGTGATAATGGTGGGAAGTTGGTGAGAGTGGTGGGAAGTTGGTGAGTGTGATGGGAAGTTGGTGAGAGTGGTGAGAAGTTGGTGAGTGAGTGGGAAGTTGGTGAGTGTGATGGGATGTTGGTGAGTGTGATGGGAAGTTGGTGAGTGTGATGGGAAGTTGGTGAGAGTGATGGGAAGTTGGTGAGTGTGGTGGGAAGTTAGTGAGTGTGGTGGGAAGTTGGTGAGAGTGGTGGGAAGTTGGTGATAATGGTGGGAAGTTGGTGAGAGTGGTGGGAAGTTGGTGAGTGTGATGGGAAGTTGGTGAGAGTGGTGGGAAGTTGGTGAGTGTGGTGGGAAGTTGGTGAGTGTGATGGGAAGTTGGTGAGTGTGATGGGAAGTTGGTGAGTGTGATGGGAAGTTGGTGAGAGTGATGGGAAGTTGGTGAGTGTGGTGGGAAGTTGGTGAGAGTGGTGGGAAGTTGGTGAGTGTGGTGGGAAGTTGGTGAGTGTGGTGGGAAGTTAGTGAGAGTGGTAGGAAGTTGGTGAGAGGGGTAGGAAGTTGGTGAGTGTGGTGGGAAGTTAGTGAGAGTGGTGGGAAGTTGGTGAGAGTGGTGGGAAGTTGGTGAGAATGGTAGGAAGTTGGTGAGTGTGATGGGAAGTTGGTGAGTGTGATGGGAAGTTGATGAGAATGGTGGGAAGTTGGTGAGTGTGGTGGGAAGTTGGTAAAAGGGGTAGGAAGTTGGTGAGTGTGTTGGGAAGTTTGTGAGAGTAGTGGGAAGTTGGTGAGTGTGGTGGGAAGTTGGTGAGAGTGGTGGGAAGTTGCTGAATGTTGTGGGAAGTTGCTGAGTGTTGTGGGAAGTTGCTGAGTGTTGTGGGAAGTTGGTGAGTGTGGTGGGAAGTTGCTGAGTGTTGTGGGAAGTTGGTGAGTGTGGTGGGAAGTTGGTGAGAGTGGTGGGAAGTTGGTGAGTGTGGTGGGAAGTTGCTGAGTGTTGTGGAAAGTTGGTGAGTGTTGTGGGAAGTTGGTGAGTGTGGTGGGAAGTTGGTGAGTGTGGTGGGAAGTTAGTGAGAGTGGTGGGAAGTTGGTGAGAGTGATGGGAAGTTGATGAGACTGGTGGGAAGTTGGTGAGTGTGGTGGGAAGTTGGTAAAAGGGGTAGGAAGTTGGTGAGTGTGTTGGGAAGTTTGTGAGAGTAGTGGGAAGTTGGTGAGTGTGGTGGGAAGTTGGTGAATGTGGTGGGAAGTTGGTGAGAGTGGTGGGAAGTTGCTGAGTGTTGTGGGAAGTTGCTGAGTGTTGTGGGAAGTTGGTGAGTGTGGTGGGAAGTTGGTGAGTGCGGTGGGAAGTTGGTGAGTGTGGTGGGAAGTTGGTGAGTGTTGTGGGAAGTTGGTGAGTGTGGTGGGAAGTTGGTGAGTGTGGTGGGAAGTTGCTGAGTGTTGTGGGAAGTTGGTGAGTGTGGTGGGAAGTTAGTGAGAGTGGTGGGAAGTTGGTGAGAGTGATGGGAAGTTGGTGAGAGTGGTGGGAAGTTGGTGAGTGTTGTGGAAAGTTGGTGAGTGTGGTGGGAAGTTGGTGAGAGTGGTGGGAAGTTGGTGAGTGTGGTGGGAAGTTGGTGAGTGTGGTGGGAAGTTGGTGAGAGTGGTGGGAAGTTGGTGGGAGTGGTGGGAAGTTGCTGAGTGTTGTGGGAAGTTGGTGAGTGTGGGGGGAAGTTGCTGAGTGTTGTGGGAAGTTGGTGAGTGTGGGGGGAAGTTGCTGAGTGTTGTGGGAAGTTAATGAGTTTGGTGGGAAGTTGGTGAGAGTGGTGGGAAGTTGCTGAGTGTTGTGGGAAGTTGGTGAGTGTTGTGGGAAGTTGGTGAGTGTGGTGGGAAGTTGGTGAGAGAGGTGGGAAGTTGGTGGGAGTGGTGGGAAGTTGCTGAGT